GTGGATATCCAACAAATATTCGAGGATTGCTTCTTGGTGCGAATTTATCTCCATTCCTCTTCAAGTTTTGAGTATAACATCTGCATCCAAAAACACGAATATGATCCAAAGAAGGTGGCTTTTCATAGATCTTCTCGTATGGTGTGACCCCCTAGCAAAGACGAAGGTGTGCGATTGATCAAATGTGCGGCGGTCTGTATACACTCTCCCTAGAACTCAATCGGAAGACCAGCCTGAAACCTCAAAGTCCGACCCACATTCAAAATGTGTCGGTGCTTGCGTTTTACTCTCCCATTCTGTTGTGGAGTAGACACACAAGACGTCTCATGAATAATTCCTTGCTCCCTGAAATATTCGTTTAGACATTCAAATTTTGTGCCATTATCTCTGCGAACACACTTTATTTTCTTCCCAAATTGTCGTTCTACCATAGCACAGAATTGTTTAAAAACAGGGCAAACCTTACTTTTGGAATCAAGCAAATGTACCCAAACACCTCTTGAAAAATCATCCACAATGGTCAAGAACATTATAGAACCATCAAAACTTGGAGTCCTATACGGTCCCCATAAATCACAGTGTATCATATCAAATTTATCAGCAGATTGATAAAAACTTATAGGAAAGCTCCCACGAGTCTGTTTAGCACGCAAACAAATGTCACAACAACTGTGACTACTCTTACTTGTTCCAACTCCAGGAACAAGAGACAAAACATGAGAGGAAGGATGTCCAAGTCGTTTATGCCAAAGATCAAACTTACTCTCCTTCTTCGCACTGCGCACCATCTTCTTTTTAGGCTCCTTGAAGTAATAAAATCCTCCTTCCTGCTCACCCATACTAATTCCTGTCTTTAAACACAGATCCTGTAGTATACACTTATCGTTGGCAAAACCAGTGTTTTGAAGACCGGACCGGACCGGCCGGTCCAACCAGTCAACCCGCGAACCGGCAACATATCCGGTCCGGTTCAATGAAGAAACCCGTTCCCCTTTTGACTCGCCCAAACCCGCCGGAACCGGTGAACCGGGTGACCCGGGTCGACCCGTCCGGTTCCCGGGTTTGGGCTTAAATCTATATTTTAATAAGTTTTTTGGACATAAAAATTGAAAGTAGTGGCTGGGGGATTCGAACCCAGCACCTCCCCTTATTCCAAAGGGAGTTGTTTCCAAGTGAGCTACTCGAACTTTGTTCACAACTTAGGTATCCTATGCTTTTATTGTTTTACAAAAGGTTCATACAAAAATAAATATGTACTAGGGGTACTTTTTTAAGCTAAGTGTGCATTTGTATTTATGAGCTTTTAAAATAATTTTAAAAATTGAGAATTATTTAATTTTTATTTGAAAATAAATACACTCTATATATTTTATAATTAAAAAATTGTTGTCTTTAAAAATCAAGTAATATTTATTAATATAATTTAATATGCTATATTTTTTACTTTTCAATCATTTTAACCAACTAAGTATTAACTTTAAAATGTCTTATGTATATAAGAATAAAATATATAGTCTTTAATTTTTGAGAATATGAGTATCACCTTATTATTTAAGTATTTGTTAAAGATTCAATATTAACTTTTGATAATAATAAAAATAATAAAATAAAAATAGAAGGTGTGAAATATCATATGTACAAGGATATTAAAAAATAGATGGAGAAATAATAACATAAATTAAAATATTTTATTAACTAAAAATATTTAATATATTATAAAATATTATTATTATAAATATAGTTGACCGAGTCGTTGACCTCCGGTTAGACCGGTTCGACCGGTCAACCCTTGACCCACTACCTCGTCCGAGTTGACGTCCGGTCCGGTTTTCAAAACATTGGGCAAAACGTGCCTCACAATTCAAATCCCTTGTCAATTGTGACACAGAGATTAAATGGCAACTCAAAGTGGGAACATATAGAACATCATGCGGAATTAATGTTTCTGTCAATTTAATCTTTCCAGATTGTACAGAGACAATTCTTTTCCCATTTGGCAAACCAATCTCACATGGTGATATTCCCACAACATCATGCAATAACGAAATAAGTCATATGATTTGATGCCCCAGTATCTATAATCCAGCGCGGTGACACAAGAATACCTGAAAGCTTCATACTAGAAACACACGATGATAGGGAGAAAAACATCTTCCTTGTTTGTTCATCGGCCATGGCGGTAGCAGAGTGGCGTACGGCGGTGGCGGAAGAATCAACAGCAGCATCAATCAAACAGTCTGCCGACGGGACGGTCGACGTGCTCGACCGTTCTAGAGCAACGGTCGACCGTTCCGTTATTCAGAAACAGCAACAACCGACTAAAACTGAGCGACGATCGATGGACGCCATGCCGGGCGATCGTGAACAGTAGTCGCAGAATATTTCTAGGGTTTTGGCTCCTATACCATGAAAGAATTATTTGGGAGGAAATTCTCTGTATTTCTCTCTCGTCTTTACAATTTACAATGAGGACATATATATAGGATCTCACTAGTTGAGACTCCTAATAAGTAAAGGAAAAGGAAAAGGAAACAATCCCTATACAAGGAAAACTACCAAAACAATATATACACAAATATCTCCAAAAATACTACTCCCTCCGTCCTAATTCTTTCTTCCCAGTTTGACTTTTCCCCATTTTTAATTTTTGGCTTTGACTTCAAATTTTACCCTCCTTAAAAGAGATTTTTTGAATTTTTTTTGCAATCATTCAAAATATAGAGGTAGAAGATAATTGGTGTAAATACATGAGAGTATTAATGTCATTTGTCATCTTTTTTTTCTAATGGGAAGGTAGTTTTAGGACGGAGAAAAAGGGAAAGTGGGAAGAAAATTTTAAGACAGAGGGAGTACCAAATATTCTCTTTCCTTTAACAATTTATTATTACTTATTATTATTATTATTATTATTATTATTATTGTTTATGGTTAGTTAATTATATTATTATTAGGGAGTATTATTATATAAAGCTATTAATATCTTGACTTATTTAATTACCTTTTATGCTTAGAAATCTTTATGTTTAGAAGCTATATATATATATATAACAATCACTATGGAATTATTATTAAAACAATAAAATAAATACTTTTCTTAAACTATAATCTCTCCTCTTCTCTTTTCTATTCATGGAGCTTGAAGATAATCGAAATCTTCCCTTTCCTGAGATGATATCCTATCGATTGGTGACAAGTTCTTTTGATGGTCTAGTGATCAAGGTTTTTCACCTTATATAATGGATCATGAATGACACCCCTTTTCTCCCTTCTTTGCTGAATTTCCAACTGGAGGACAAGTTAGTTTTCAAGACAGGGAGAGTGATAAGGGACTATTTATCAGTATTATTATTATTACTACTATTATTATTACTAATGGTTAATAATAAGAATTATTAGGTAGTATTATTATATATGGTTAGGAAATGATAATATTATTAGAAAGTAATGTTATATTAGGTTATTAGTATCTTGACATATTTAGTTATTCTTTATGATTAGGGTTCCATAGGTGTGAAACCTATACATGTAATCATCACCACAGAAGTACTATTCAATCAACAAAGCAAATATTTTTCCTAAACACACATCTCTCTCGTCTTGTTATGATAAACATATCACATAGAGAAGGATTTCGAGTACCTTCAAACTCCAAGAAGGAGAGATTCAAAGATAAAGAGAAACAGTTGATTACAGAAGAAGTTTGAGGTAAAGAGAGGGAAGGGAAGTGACGCTAAGGAAGAGAGGAGAGAAAGAGAGTTTTAGGGTCAAGAAGGATTATTCTTATTGATTGATAAATCTAAATGAACTTACATCCATGTTTGTAATAGAGATATGAAAAACCCTTATTTTAATAGAAACTGATATGTCTATTATTTGTACAAATTTTATTATATTCTAGTAGATCTATTGAATTTGATTTTAATATAAAATGGAGCTTAATGAAACAATATAATATTCCCAAATGCTTGATGAATTGAATGTAGCACCAATAATTTTTCTCTTTAAATTTTTCAGTAAAATTAAAAGGATTTGGCATAAGTTGCCTTCAAGTACAACTGTTTTATCTCCAAACGGTTCAGTTTATCTCCAAATTTATTATTAATGCACCTCATGATATCTTTGGTGCGCGATCCGACACCTCAAAATTAAAGCAAAAATATTCATTATAAATGCTTCATCCCAAGAAAAATTAACTAACACACACTCGGAGTCGAAGAGAGAATAGATGAACAAAGTCGACTTGTATTTATATATGCGAAATTTGCACTGAATAGGACTAAAACATAAGTCATTTCCTAATGTAGGACTTAAACTTTTTTAATCTCTAAATAGGACTTAATGATGACTAGTGAGAAGAATAATGTCCAAACATTTAGGGGCTGTTTGTTTCAGCCTCTTAATGATTCAGATGTCTGAATGATTGAGCACTTAATGGTTCAGACTGTTTGTTTCAGCCTCTTAATGGTTCAGATGTCTAAATGGTTAAGAGATTTGCCTCTGAATGGTTAAGTATTATACAGAGTCTGAATGGTTAAGAGCTGTTATCTGAATTGATCAGACATTTGCCTCTGAATAGTTAAGCAATATACTAGCTCTTAATGGTTCAGACCTCTTACTGGTTCAGCACTTAATGATTCAGATCTCTTACTGGTTCAGCACTTACCATTCAGAAGTTGCCAAACAGCCCCTTAGTTAAATTGGACTAATAGATAATGACCAATGGTACAATAAAACGAATCATGATACAATAATTATACAAGAGATGTAACGCCCCGAAATCTGACTTAGTATTTTTAATTAATTTATATAATTAATTAATTACTGAGTGGGGCAATACGAAAATTATTTTCTAATTTGCGTATTTAATATGAGAGTTAACCTACGTTGTAGGGCGCACTGTTCTGAACCCGACTAGGTGAACGGATTGAGAATGAGACTTACTAGGCCCTAGATACGACTGCCCAATAAGGTATTTGGTCTTAAATCTGTCTTAACTGGTCGGAAAGTGTAAACTGGACCCTAAATTCTATTTAATAAGGAGTACTACTTAAGGAGTATTAAATAAGAAAAGGGGGGTTACGAGACGGAGCATCTCTCTTTCCCGTACATTCTCCGTCCTCTCCCTCTGTCGATCCTTCTTCGCGTCCGGTCGACAAGCAGCAGCAGCCGCCGGCGAGAGGCTCGCCGAGAAGTCGCCGTCGGCCACCATACCCCTCTCGCAGCCTCTCTCTCTCCCGTTTCTATTCCGTCCACCGCTGCACGTCGACCAGAGACAGTGACCAAGGAGCCAACGCCGTCACCCACCGTCGCCTGGGGAACCACCGTCGTCGTCTCTCTCTTCCCCTCCAATTTCCGGTTCGCACGCACCATTTCCGGCAAAGAGCAGCGGTGATTTGTGGTTTCAACCCAAGGTTTCGATTTCTTCGATTTTCTAGGTGATTTGTTGTTTCTATACCTTCCTTTAGCGTTAATTCGTAGATTAGAAGCCCCTTAGCGTATAATCTTGCGATTTGATAGAGAATTATGAATGTTTGTGTTGAATTCATGAAATTGGGGTTTGGGGGCTGTTTTCCGGCGTCTTCTCCGGCGACCCGCCGGCAAAGTCGGCGGCGAGATTGACCGGAACTGGGCAGCAGCTCTAATTGGACCAATTGGGTTCAATTGGCACCAATTGGGCTCAATTGGGTTCAAACGAGTTCAATCGGGTTCAATTGGGCTATTCGGATTCAATTGGGTTTGATTGGACTGTTTGGGCTAATTGACGGGATGTCTAGGTTGCTGTGAATCACCCAATAGGGCTGTTTGTTGTGAATATGAGAACTGAGATTTAAATTAAATTAATCTTATTGAGGAATATTGTAGATTATGAGTAATATATGAGAAATAGGCCACCTAGTATAATTAGGCGGACTTGAATTGGATTGACTGATTGGATCACCAATAGGATATGGTTAGGAAATTGGCCATTACGGGGCATCGTCGCACACCTGGTGGTCTTGGGTTAAAAACGTACGTACAGAAGTCCGCGACCTGTCTTGGCATCGTAGGGACATGGGCTTCAACCCGCCCAAAGTGAATCTTCTTTGGGTTTCTGAGCTGGCCCTTTTATAGCATCGCTTGAGGTGCCATGACTCAACGTTAGATTATCTGAGATAAAATAATGATAAGGCAATTAAGGAGAAAATGCTAGCATAATTATGCTCGTTCAAGTTGTTTTTTTGTGATCACATAATGTTGTTGAATTATCTGCTAATGGAGTGTTATTCTGTGAGTTAATGCTGGCCTAGATATATTTTCACTCAACATTTAGCTAAGCGTGTAGTCGTTGTTGTTTTGACTGCACGCAGGTAGAAACACAGGCCGGATGGGCAACCCAGAGGGCAGTGAAGTGGTGGCGTGGATGGCTCTTGTTTTTTACTCTTCTAATTAAACTACATTATTTTATTTGATTATATGGGCTGTTGGACATTATTTTGGTTTTTCTTATGCTTCTTAACGTTTGGATTTATTTTATAACTCCGATGAACTTTAGTTTAGCTTAAACTCTTACAAATGAATTTCATAATTTATTTAACTATTTATTTTTTAAAAAATATGCATGCAAATACCAAATTAGTAACAACCAGGTTCACTGACCTGTTGGTTCGGGGTACGCGGGTTGGGGTGTTTCATTTTGGTAAATAATAATAAGGGCAAAAGTTATTTCCAAGTACTGCATCTGCGTCTTCCACGTCATCTTTGCCTCCAAGGAAGGTAATAAACTATTGTCTTATTTCTTAACGTTGTGTGGAACTGATTGCTTAAATTATAGTTTAGCGCTGATTGCTTAAAGATTTATATGAAGCTGATTGTTTGAAGGTCTGTGTTAAGTTGACTGTTGAAATGTCTGTGTTGAGCTACGAATTGTTGATTATGGAGATTACTGAAATACTATAGTCTAAGATAAGAATTCACATCATGTAGATGGAAGTATGAAACCTACTTACTATAAGGTGAATATTAACATAAACCATGACAACGAAATGCTAGGTAACAAAAGAAAAGAGTGTAAAAATATACTTATAATAAATTATCTTGTCCAATATTCAGTTTTCTAGTTTAGTCATCGGAATGGATAACCAAATTCTGAAAGGGCTGCAGACCTGGATGGATGATGGAGTCTTATTTTGGTATCAAGCTAGAATGACCGTATAAAGGAAAAGAAAAACTTGTTGATTAGTAAAGAAAATAATACTTACCACTAGCACATCATTGTGTAGTGTTGTGGCTCGATACAAACCAAAAGAACTTAATGAGTGATCTATCTCGAAAGACGTTACGGGTAGACGTACCTTGTGGGCAGGATGAAACAATAGAAGCAGACTCGAAGGAAGTTACGATATCGACATGTGAAAATGTGGACTGCCAATAGAGGACGCACTGCTGATGGGCTCATGACTTTTACAAAGTCTGGTTAGCAAGTATTAGTGACGCCGATAGTGATAGTGGTGACGTTAATAGAACACCCCACTTACTCTCGTTAGTATGATCAATGATTTGTTGAGAAATAACTTTAATGAATCAAGAATGAATCAGTTTAATCTCAACTATGCTGTTGAAGATTTTAGGTTATGATTCGCGAAGGGTGAACTTATTCCGAGATCGATGAATGCACATAATGTCAAATACGTTACCATTAATGTTGTGTCACAAGTTGAATGCCACCTGAAACTCTTGGACGAACCTGTGGATGCGCACCAAGATCGAGAAGTTACGATATCATTACGTACCACTTGAAGAGGAGTAATACACGATAACCTGAACACCGAACTACATTGAGTACTCTGACCGTGAACGACCCACCGAGAGTACGAAGCCTGGAGCAAACATAAACATAACGAATGTGTGTGAAGCAACATCATGTAAGACACTGGACCTGAAAGATTGAGCTTGCATCCTGACATGACTTGGTCGCGAAGAGAAGAATTTTGTTGTTAGCACCGTGCAAAATACTCAAGCTAGGTAGGGCATACGACATGCTCTCAGGGACATGACGACTAAGGTATACCGTACACCTGACGAAACTATATATCGATAATGAACCATATCGTAGGACTGACAAACTTAACACGAAAGAATACAAATGATGACGACCGCATGACGACGACGAATGCTGGCCATATAGTACCAACGAGTACGACGCACGAACCGTTAGACGACAGGCACAAAATCGGATTAGGCAATTGACAACATGTGGGCTGAACAACAGAATGCACTGAGCGAATACGAGAAACAAATGACACAGAAAATAACGTTTGTTGCTACAACTTCTAACAAAGTACCCTTTACGTGCAGATCAAACTTGTTGTTGGGGGATCAATCGCGAAGAAAATTATATTGTTCCGCAAGAAACAAGTCAACAACTAACTAATGGACGTGCGACATCTCCTGAACTTAATCACGAAAGTATGTAGATCGTATAATGAAGGATTTCCAAAAGATTCGTTCAAGGAATGTGTTGGAGACTGACGATCCATAGGAAACAATTCTTGAAATATCTTGTCAAATGCGTGTGACTGTACGAACGTTGGGTTTGAATATCATGACAAACGAATGATTAATATTCTTGAACTGTAAAAGTTTATCCGTAACCTACATCTGTATGTTGACTACATTGATTATCCTCCACTTTGATCCATTGACGTCGGTCAAACTTCTACACGTGAATGGAGATAGTATCTCTGTAATGAATTGACAAAATCTCTTTCTAAAATCAAGTTGTGACGTACCCGTTAAGATAACAATATCTTGTGTGGAAAGAATTCTATGTAATAACGTTGACTTTCACTTTGACTTTTAAACTCGTACTCTGCGATACAGTTGACTAAACTGTAATGGAGAACGTATTGTAAATAAACGTATTTAAGAAATCACCGTGACCCTACTGAACCAGTCTGAACATCTATGCAACTCTTAGAGAATCTTGCTAAAGATCTCAACGATGAAGATTTACTCTATCAACAATAAAGACACGTGTACGCATGAACTAAAAGACGGTATCGTATCTCGTCACCTGTAGTATCCAAATCACCCTGAACGGATCACATGAAGAATGGTTGAATGAAAAGATTTTTATGAAGATTGTTACGAATAAACTTGCAAAATTTTCTTATAACTAAATTCCTTAAACAAAAAAAATCCGTAAACAAAATTTCGAGTACCTCGACATTGTCAAAGATCGAGAACGTGACCACATGTTGAAGAATCTTCTTTCTATTCAAAAAAAGAGCTGTGGATAAATGGATGATCGCATTAATTGTTACTGGGAATATATCTTGTTATAGACTCGAGCAAAACGAACTAATACGCTAATGACGTGAAAACATTGTCGAACATGAATAATAATCAAACAGTAACCCACTATTAGTAGGCATCAGAAGTTAACTTATCGCGTGAGAAACATAGGTATGAAGTGACAGCGCCGTGAAACGGACCATGGCGATATGCTACAGGGATCGTGACGTGATATCACGATAGGAAAAAAGAACAACTCTAGATAGACTTACGAAATGTAGCACCCTAATCCGTCCAGGTCTGCATCCCCATTCGGACTAAAGTATTAACTTGGTAATCGTAAAATTTAAAACATTTCAAACACTTTTATTTATCACAACAATTATTTTTCATATTATAAACAGTACGGAGTTTTCAATATCGCGGAAGCTTAACAAATCACAATCATAAACATAATTTATTTATATTCTTTAATTCATAACCATCACATCCATTCCGACTATCTCGCCTTCGTCTGCCTCCAGGATCACGTCACTTCATTGTTTCTATTAACCTGCTTGTAGCAAATAAAACATACTACACGCTCAGCGGTAAAGCTGAGTAAGCATATCTAATGCGTCGAACATCCATATAAATTGAATCGAAATTCGTAATCAAATCATTTGATATCATGCACAAAGTGTTCAGTTCAAATATTCAATAATCAATATTCAACATTCATCATTCAATATTCATATTCAACATTCAACATCCTCATTCAACAATATCCTTAAACTATTCTTAGTCTAAGGTCAATTCCATTCTCAATCTAATTCAAGATATTCTAATCCTTAAGCTAGGCCCAGTTTAAGATATATTTTTAAAAAGAGTTTTCAAATCTTAAACTTACCTTCGCTTAAGATCAACCAAAAACCGACAGCGTAGTGTTCACTGTTGGGTTGGGTGGTACCCCCAAACGAGTAGGTACTCAAGTTTGGTTCTTGGATCCCATACGTACGTTTTAACCCTAGTCACCGGGCATCATACCCGCAAGACCTAACTTATATAGGTATATCTTAGAATTCTTCTAGATATCTTTCAAAATCAACTTCACTATGGGTATATCTTAGAGTTGTTCTAGATACCCTTAAAGATACATTCTCGTTATGATTATCAATATATCCATTTTTAATTATGATTAAGTCATCAATAATCATTCTAATCAGTAGGTTTATCATTCATGACATTTATTCATCATAATGATAAATCAACATAACATTCGATAGCAAATAACGGCCTAGTCTCGAGTGTTAACACCGTAACTTACCGTCATGCATCACATAACATTTTTTATTTGTTAAAAACATCATTTGTATTATGAAGAATCATTTTTATAATGATCATAATCAATTGGTATCAAAAATAGAATTTTAGAGCTCAAAAATAGCATTTTCAAACAAATTTTGGGGTCAAAATTTCAGGGGATCGATCCAGGACATTGAATCGATCCAGACAGTGCTGATTTCGGGTTACTGTTCATCTTCTTCAACCTTCGGTCCATTTTTCAGAAATACCATTTTTCGTCACTGAACTTCAATTAAACTATATAGAAATGTTCTCCAAGGTTCGTAGATCATTTTAGAATTATTAAAACATATTTTTAACATCAAATTCAAGGTTTGTGATTCTTGGTTCTTCAAACATATCAAACTCAAAACTCAACCAAATGACCGTTTATGAACGTAGAAACGATCTATACGAACATTCTAGTAACTAGATATATCTACGGGCTTACCTTGAAGCGTAATTGAGGTTTTGGAAATTTTCCGGCGAAACTTCTGGCGACTATATCTCTCTACTCCGGCGACCTCTCACAGAGCTGACAGCACCAGTGTGTTCTCCTCTCTCAGAGCAGCAGGATAGAAGGAAGAATTGTAGATTTTGGTGAAGAAATGAGGAAGATGAGTTCCTCTTATATAGTAGTAGAAGGAAGAAGAAGACATGGGTTGAGTGATTTCCAGGATCGGGGAATCGGCTAGTGCGTCGTTCGCACAGTATTCCGACGTTTGTTTGATTCCCTGATTGGGACTGATTTTGGTCCCAGTTGGGGTACACTTTTTGGTTCAACTTTCTCTGAATTGAAATCCGTTTGCATTGTTGCGATCGTACAATTAAACTCTATCTAATGATATTATTTTTATATTTATTCGTTATACTTTTTCCGACATCATATTTTTGGTGTTTGACTTTGACAGAGTCAAAATTGATTTGTTTGACCTTTACTCAAAAAGGTGCTCATATTCAATTCATATTATTTATCCTCATGATTTATTTCCATGAATCATTTCAAAGTTTACATTATAAACACATTATTCATTTATTCTTGATTTTTGGTCCGTACTCAGGTTCCCAATCAAGGTCACACAATAAGTCAACATTTTGGATTTATCTCTATGAGACTTATCGTGATTGTAATATTGTATATTTAAACACATATTATTTTGGCCTAAAGCCCAACAATAATTTATTTTAATCAAAAGAAATTTGATTAATTGAATAATTATCTTATTAATAATTCTAGGGTATGTTTTGGGGCGTTACACGAAATGACTTCTAATGCTCGACGAGCCTAATAGTGAAACAAACTATCCTAAACTCAATTGTCGACCACAAGGAAGGTGTGATCATTGTCACAATCCAGCTAATCGATCTTGAGAAGATCTTATGTTGATGTCATAAGCAAGCGACACAAATGAACTTTGAATACGAACTGAACGACCGATCAAATTACTGACACTACGTTATCTGAAAGCAGTGTCGCCCAATCATTTAAGATGGCCCTGTGCAACTCAATAATTCAAGGCTCTAGGATATAAAAAAGGAGTGGTTCAAGGTAATAAAATAATTTTTTTATATTTTTATTTGAAAAAACGAAGTACATTAAAACCAAAGTTAGAATTGAACTACTGGTCTTGCACATTTAAAGAAGAAACACCAAGTTTTAACATTGAAAAACAATTAAACGATAAAATGAATCATTTAAGATTTTACGATGCAAAATAAATTTAAAATTTCTAACCCTAAAATAATTTTCAAACAAATCTAAATCACCTAAATTGATATCCGTGCAAAAAAAACCAGCAAAATTGAGATTGGCATTTTCATTGAGAGGATGAAAGAAACACGGTCAATTTGAAAAGAAAAAAAATTGAAACATAAAAATTAAGAACTCACTAAAAAAGAAGAAATTGAAGAGTTAATTGGCAAAGGAAGATGGCGTTGTTAGCGTATTAAAGGAGGAAGAATTGCAATTGGGAAGGTGCAAAAAAGGAGATTCTCAGCGTTGAGTTCCGTGCGCCCAGCGGAGGAACCCGTGATTTAGTACTTCGTATTATATTAGATAATTAGGTAGTGGGTTTATAATTATAATTGGGCTAGAGGTATATAAATATGGGCATCTATATTTTAGAGGCCCTGTTCTACTACACCTATTGAACTTGGTAATGGGCGGGACTGTCTGAAAGCTTAACTATTGTTAGTACGCTCTATAGAGGTACTCCATATATGTCCGTTGGAATCAAACTCAAGAAAGATTGAATAATGAACTCGACAAACTTATCAGGTGTCTTGAACAAAACACCAATACAAAACTCCTACAATAATACCTCGAACGATAAAGAGGAGAATTTCTGTGAGAATGGTGTGGACATTTACCAACCATGATCGTAATGGAAATGTGAAACCAAATCATTAAAGTTTGTACCTAGAAAAATTTCGGGGACAAAATTCCTTTGGGGGGGAAGAAATGTAACGCCCCGAAACCCGATTTAGTATTTTTAATTAATTTATATAATTAATTAATTATTGAGTCGGACAATACGAAGATTATTTTCTAATTTGCGTATTTAATATGAGAGTTAACCTATGTTGTAGGGCGAACTGTTCTAAACCCAACCGCGTGAACAGATTGAGAATCGGACTTACTAGGCCCAAGATACGACTGCCCTGCCGAATAAGGTAATTGAGCTTAAATTTGTCTTAACTGGTTGGAAAGTGTAAACTGGACCCTAAATTCTATTTAATATTATACTCCTTATTACGGAGTAAATAAGAAAAGGGGGGTTACGAGACGGAGCATCTCTCTTTCCCGTACATTCTCCGTCCTCTCCCTCTGTCGATCCTTCTTCGCGTCCGGTCGACAAGCAGCAGCAGCCGCCGGCGAGAGGCTCGCCGAGAAGTCGCCGTCGGCCACCATACCCCTCTCGCAGCCTCTCTCTCTCCCGTTTCTATTCCGTCCACCGCTGCACGTCGACCAGAGACAGCGACCAAGGAGCCAACGCCGTCACCCACCGTCGCCTGGGGAACCACCGTCGTCGTCTCTCTCTTCCCCTCCAATTTCCGGTTCGCACGCACCATTTCCGGCAAAGAGCAGCGGTGATTTGTGGTTTCAACCCAAGGTTTCGATTTCTTCGATTTTCTAGGTGATTTGTTGTTTCTATACCTTCCTTTAGCGTTAATTCGTAGATTAGAACCCCCTTAGCGTATAATCTTGCGATTTGATAGAGAATTATGGATGTTTGTGTTGAATTCATGAAATTGGGGTTTGGGGGCTGTTTTCCGGCGTCTTCTCCGGCGACCCGCCGGCAAAGTCGGCGGCGAGATTGACCGGAACTGGGCAGCAGCTCTAATTGGACCAATTGGGTTCAATTGGCACCAATTGGGCTCAATTGGGTTCAAACGAGTTCAATCGGGTTCAATTGGGCTATTCGGATTCAATTTGGTGCAATTGGGTTTGATTGGACTGTTTGGGCTAATTGACGGGCTGTCTGGGTTGCTGTGAATCACCCAATAGGGCTGTTTGGTTGGGCTCTGGGCCCAACAGTCGGGTCCAGAGCCAGCAGGGGTGTCGGGGTTGATCCGGCGACGATGGGGACTGCTCTAGCGGCGGCAGCGGGTCGGAGGATTGATTCCTTGGGCTCGATTCCGCACAGGTAGGTTGGGTTAATTGTAATTGGGTTGTTTGATTATGCATGACTGTAATCCTGGGTCTTTGGCCCGGATAGGCCGCTACGTGATTTGTTGTGAATCTGTTAATCCAGATTTAAATTAAATTAATCTTATTGGTGAATACTGTGGATTATGAGTAATATATGAGAAATAGGCTACCTAGTATAATTAGGCGGACCTGAATTAGATTGACTGATTGGATCACCAATAAGATATGGTTAGGAAATTGGCCATTGCGGGGCGTCGTCGCACACCTGGTGGTCTTGGGTTAATAACGTACGTACGGAAGTCCGCGACCTGTCTTGGCATCGTAGGGACATGGGCTTCAACCCGCCCAAAGTGAATCTCCTTTGGGTTTCTGAGCTGGCCCTTTTATAACATCGCTTGAAGTGCCATGATTCAACGTTATATGATCTGAGATAAAATAATGATAAGGCAATTAAGGAGAAAATGCTAGCATAATTATGCTCGTTCAAGTTGTTTTTTTATCACATGATGTGGTTGAATTATTTGCTAATGGAGTGTTATTCTATGAGTTAATGCTGGTCTAGGTATATTTTCACTCAGCATTTAGCTGAGCGTGTAGTCGTTGTTGTTTTGACTGCACGCAGGTAAAAACACAGGCCGGATGGGCAACCCAGAGGGCAGTGAAGTGGTGGCGTGGATGGCTCTTGTTTTTTCACTCTTCTAATTAAACTACATTATTTTATTTGATTATATGGAGTGTTGGGCATTATTTTGGTTTTCCTTATGCTTCCGCAACGTTTGGATTTATTTTACAAATGAATTTCATAATTTATTTAAATCTTTATTTTAAAAAAAATATGCATTCGAATACCAAATTAGTAAGAACCCGGTTCGCTGACCTGTTGGTTCGGGTTACGCGGGTTGGGGTGTTACAAGAGATCAGATGACAAAACATAGAACATATAGGGCATGTTTGGGAATAACGTAAGCGTTTTGAAAAGGCTATCTACGAGCAGCATTTAGTGTTAGCGTTTTCAAAGTATTCTGCACAGTTAAAATTTTATCCTAAATGCTAATGATAATCTCTAACACTATTCTCAAACAGGCCCATAATGTATTACTACATCATATAAAAGCATCACCGCACGTAGATAATAGGTATTGAACCATTAATGTAATACTACCTCTGTTTCACTGTGTTTGTCCACTTTTGACTTTTGGAAATGTTCATCTAAGTACTTTGACTCATCAAATTCTCTCAATGTGTAAGCCTAAATATAGTCATGTGTGATCTTGTTTGATTTGTCTTAACATATAGATTATTAATATATAATTTCTATAATTTTTTAATATACAAATTACAAGATAAAATGGATTAAAGAAGTGCATTGGATGGTGTGCCAAAAGGTAAGTGGACAAAGACAGTGGGACGGAAGGAGTACGAGTGATCTACAGTTTCGTTTATGTAGCAAGCAAATAGCCAAATTTTATTGTCACCTACTTGATTATAATTGTCTCAAACGCAGTGTATTAATAAATTATTTCCTTTCCAAAATACATAATCAATACTTGGAATATACAATGGATCATATTAAAATTCCAGCCCATGCAAATCTTACTGATACAATTTGATAATAACTTGTCTTATTGAATATTGAGAGATATGGTTCTATATATAGGGAATACAAGAGTAATCAAAGTACAAGTAGGAAAAGAAAGAATAATCCTAGTAGGAAAGGAAAGAAGTATCCTAATTTAATTATACTTCCTAATATCCCCCCGCAAGCTGATCAACGGAGACGAGGGGCAGCTTGGAACCTAAGTACTCAAAAGGAACTGGCGGAAGCGGTTTGGTAAGAATGTCTGCTAGCTGCTCTGAAGAGGAAACATGATGTGGAGTCATAGTGTCTGCCATAACCTCATCTCGTACAAAGTGACAGTCTGTGCCCACATGCTTCATGCGATCATGAAGAACCGGATTTTTGGTGANTACTCCTACTCGGTCCTAATATCATCTCTTGGTGCACGAAAAAACAGACTCGTGTTTCTAGATCATCCACTGAAGCTGAATATCGAGCTATGGCTGCAGGGGTTGCAGAAGCTATGTGGCTTCGATATATCACTGATGCACTGGGTATTCCTCCGTCCAAACCGAAGTTATACTGTGACAATGAGTCGACTATCTGTGTCACCAAAAATCCGGTTCTTCATGATCGCATGAAGCATGTGGGCACAGACTGTCACTTTGTACGAGATGAGGTTATGGCAGACACTATGACTCCACATCATGTTTCCTCTTCAGAGCAGCTAGCAGACATTCTTACCAAACCGCTTCCGCCAGTTCCTTTTGAGTACTTAGGTTCCAAGCTGCCCCTCGTCTCCGTTGATCAGCTTGCGGGGGGATATTAGGAAGTATAATTAAATTAGGATACTTCTTTCCTTTCCTACTAGGATTATTCTTTCTTTTCCTACTTGTACTTTGATTACTCTTGTATTCCCTATATATAGAACCATATCTCTCAATATTCAATAAGACAAGTTATTATCAAATTGTATCAGTAAGATTTGCATGGGCTGGAATTTTAATATGATCCATTGTATATTCCAAGTATTGATTATGTATTTTGGAAAGGAAATAATTTATTAATACACTGCGTTTGAGACAATTATAATCAAGTAGGTGACAATAAAATTTGGCTATTTGCTTGCTACATAAACGAAACTGTAGATCACTCGTACTCCTTCCGTCCCACTGTCTTTGTCCACTTACCTTTTGGCACACCATCCAATGCACTTCTTTAATCCATTTTATCTTGTAATTTGTATATTAAAAAATTATAGAAATTATATATTAATAATCTATATGTTAAGACAAATCAAACAAGATCACACATGACTATATTTAGGCTTACACATTGAGAGAATTTGATGAGTCAAAGTACTTAGATGAACATTTCCAAAAGTCAAAAGTGGACAAACACAGTGAAACAGAGGTAGTATTACATTAATGGTTCAATACCTATTATCTACGTGCGGTGATGCTTTTATATGATGTAGTAATACATTATGGGCCTGTTTGAGAATAGTGTTAGAGATTATCATTAGCATTTAGGATAAAATTTTAACTGTGCAGAATACTTTGAAAACGCTAACACTAAATGCTGCTCGTAGATAGCCTTTTCAAAACGCTTACGTTATTCCCAAACATGCCCTATATGTTCTATGTTTTGTCATCTGATCTCTTGTAACACCCCAACCCGCGTAACCCGAACCAACAGGTCAGCGAACCGGGTTCTTACTAATTTGGTATTCGAATGCATATTTTTTTTAAAATAAAGATTTAAATAAATTATGAAATTCATTTGTAAAATAAATCCAAACGTTGCGGAAGCATAAGGAAAACCAAAATAATGCCCAACACTCCATATAATCAAATAAAATAATGTAGTTTAATTAGAAGAGTGAAAAAACAAGAGCCATCCACGCCACCACTTCACTGCCCTCTGGGTTGCCCATCCGGCCTGTGTTTTTACCTGCGTGCAGTCAAAACAACAACGACTACACGCTCAGCTAAATGCTGAGTGAAAATATACCTAGACCAGCATTAACTCATAGAATAACACTCCATTAGCAAATAATTCAACCACATCATGTGATAAAAAAACAACTTGAACGAGCATAATTATGCTAGCATTTTCTCCTTAATTGCCTTATCATTATTTTATCTCAGATCATATAACGTTGAATCATGGCACTTCAAGCGATGTTATAAAAGGGCCAGCTCAGAAACCCAAAGGAGATTCACTTTGGGCGGGTTGAAGCCCATGTCCCTACGATGCCAAGACAGGTCGCGGACTTCCGTACGTACGTTATTAACCCAAGACCACCAGGTGTGCGACGACGCCCCGCAATGGCCAATTTCCTAACCATATCTTATTGGTGATCCAATCAGTCAATCTAATTCAGGTCCGCCTAATTATACTAGGTAGCCTATTTCTCATATATTACTCATAATCCACAGTATTCACCAATAAGATTAATTTAATTTAAATCTGGATTAACAGATTCACAACAAATCACGTAGCGGCCTATCCGGGCCAAAGACCCAGGATTACAGTCATGCATAATCAAACAACCCAATTACAATTAACCCAACCTACCTGTGCGGAATCGAGCCCAAGGAATCAATCCTCCGACCCGCTGCCGCCGCTAGAGCAGTCCCCATCGTCGCCGGATCAACCCCGACACCCCTGCTGGCTCTGGACCCGACTGTTGGGCCCAGAGCCCAACCAAACAGCCCTATTGGGTGATTCACAGCAACCCAGACAGCCCGTCAATTAGCCCAAACAGTCCAATCAAACCCAATTGCACCAAATTGAATCCGAATAGCCCAATTGAACCCGATTGAACTCGTTTGAACCCAATTGAGCCCAATTGGTGCCAATTGAACCCAATTGGTCCAATTAGAGCTGCTGCCCAGTTCCGGTCAATCTCGCCGCCGACTTTGCCGGCGGGTCGCCGGAGAAGACGCCGGAAAACAGCCCCCAAACCCCAATTTCATGAATTCAACACAAACATCCATAATTCTCTATCAAATCGCAAGATTATACGCTAAGGGGGTTCTAATCTACGAATTAACGCTAAAGGAAGGTATAGAAACAACAAATCACCTAGAAAATCGAAGAAATCGAAACCTTGGGTTGAAACCACAAATCACCGCTGCTCTTTGCCGGAAATGGTGCGTGCGAACCGGAAATTGGAGGGGAAGAGAGAGACGACGACGGTGGTTCCCCAGGCGACGGTGGGTGACGGCGTTGGCTCCTTGGTCGCTGTCTCTGGTCGACGTGCAGCGGTGGACGGAATAGAAACGGGAGAGAGAGAGGCTGCGAGAGGGGTATGGTGGCCGACGGCGACTTCTCGGCGAGCCTCTCGCCGGCGGCTGCTGCTGCTTGTCGACCGGACGCGAAGAAGGATCGACAGAGGGAGAGGACGGAGAATGTACGGGAAAGAGAGATGCTCCGTCTCGTAACCCCCCTTTTCTTATTTACTCCGTAATAAGGAGTATAATATTAAATAGAATTTAGGGTCCAGTTTACACTTTCCAACCAGTTAAGACAAATTTAAGCTCAATTACCTTATTCGGCAGGGCAGTCGTATCTTGGGCCTAGTAAGTCCGATTCTCAATCTGTTCACGCGGTTGGGTTTAGAACAGTTCGCCCTACAACATAGGTTAACTCTCATATTAAATACGCAAATTAGAAAATAATCTTCGTATTGTCCGACTCAATAATTAATTAATTATATAAATTAATTAAAAATACTAAATCGGGTTTCGGGGCGTTACATTTCTTCCCCCCCAAAGGAATTTTGTCCCCGAAATTTTTCTAGGTACAAACTTTAATGATTTGGTTTCACATTTCCATTACGATCATGGTTGGTAAATGTCCACACCATTCTCACAGAAATTCTCCTCTTTATCGTTCGAGGTATTATTGTAGGAGTTTTGTATTGGTGTTTTGTTCAAGACACCTGATAAGTTTGTCGAGTTCATTATTCAATCTTTCTTGAGTTTGATTCCAACGGACATATATGGAGTACCTCTATAGAGCGTACTAACAATAGTTAAGCTTTCAGACAGTCCCGCCCATTACCAAGTTCAATAGGTGTAGTAGAACAGGGCCTCTAAAATATAGATGCCCATATTTATATACCTCTAGCCCAATTATAATTATAAACCCACTACCTAATTATCTAATATAATACGAAGTACTAAATCACGGGTTCCTCCGCTGGGCGCACGGAACTCAACGCTGAGAATCTCCTTTTTTGCACCTTCCCAATTGCAATTCTTCCTCCTTTAATACGCTAACAACGCCATCTTCCTTTGCCAATTAACTCTTCAATTTCTTCTTTTTTAGTGAGTTCTTAATTTTTATGTTTCAATTTTTTTTCTTTTCAAATTGACCGTGTTTCTTTCATCCTCTCAATGAAAATGCCAATCTCAATTTTGCTGGTTTTTTTTGCACGGATATCAATTTAGGTGATTTAGATTTGTTTGAAAATTATTTTAGGGTTAGAAATTTTAAATTTATTTTGCATCGTAAAATCTTAAATGATTCATTTTATCGTTTAATTGTTTTTCAATGTTAAAACTTGGTGTTTCTTCTTTAAATGTGCAAGACCAGTAGTTCAATTCTAACTTTGGTTTTAATGTACTTCGTTTTTTCAAATAAAAATATAAAAAAATTATTTTATTACCTTGAACCACTCCTTTTTTATATCCTAGAGCCTTGAATTATTGAGTTGCACAGGGCCATCTTAAATGATTGGGCGACACTGCTTTCAGATAACGTAGTGTCAGTAATTTGATCGGTCGTTCAGTTCGTATTCAAAGTTCATTTGTGTCGCTTGCTTATGACATCAACATAAGATCTTCTCAAGATCGATTAGCTGGATTGTGACAATGATCACACCTTCCTTGTGGTCGACAATTGAGTTTAGGATAGTTTGTTTCACTATTAGGCTCGTCGAGCATTAGAAGTCATTTCGTGTAACGCCCCAAAACATACCCTAGAATTATTAATAAGATAATTATTCAATTAATCAAATTTCTTTTGATTAAAATAAATTATTGTTGGGCTTTAGGCCAAAATAATATGTGTTTAAATATACAATATTACAATCACGATAAGTCTCATAGAGATAAATCCAAAATGTTGACTTATTGTGTGACCTTGATTGGGAACCTGAGTACGGACCAAAAATCAAGAATAAATGAATAATGTGTTTATAATGTAAACTTTGAAATGATTCATGGAAATAAATCATGAGGATAAATAATATGAATTGAATATGAGCACCTTTTTGAGTAAAGGTCAAACAAATCAATTTTGACTCTGTCAAAGTCAAACACCAAAAATATGATGTCGGAAAAAGTATAACGAATAAATATAAAAATAATATCATTAGATAGAGTTTAATTGTACGATCGCAACAATGCAAACGGATTTCAATTCAGAGAAAGTTGAACCAAAAAGTGTACCCCAACTGGGACCAAAATCAGTCCCAATCAGGGAATCAAACAAACGTCGGAATACTGTGCGAACGACGCACTAGCCGATTCCCCGATCCTGGAAATCACTCAACCCATGTCTTCTTCTTCCTTCTACTACTATATAAGAGGAACTCATCTTCCTCATTTCTTCACCAAAATCTACAATTCTTCCTTCTATCCTGCTGCTCTGAGAGAGGAGAACACACTGGTGCTGTCAGCTCTGTGAGAGGTCGCCGGAGTAGAGAGATATAGTCGCCAGAAGTTTCGCCGGAAAATTTCCAAAACCTCAATTACGCTTCAAGGTAAGCCCGTAGATATATCTAGTTACTAGAATGTTCGTATAGATCGTTTCTACGTTCATAAACGGTCATTTGGTTGAGTTTTGAGTTTGATATGTTTGAAGAACCAAGAATCACAAACCTTGAATTTGATGTTAAAAATATGTTTTAATAATTCTAAAATGATCTACGAACCTTGGAGAACATTTCTATATAGTTTAATTGAAGTTCAGTGACGAAAAATGGTATTTCTGAAAAATGGACCGAAGGTTGAAGAAGATGAACAGTAACCCGAAATCAGCACTGTCTGGATCGATTCAATGTCCTGGATCGATCCCCTGAAATTTTGACCCCAAAATTTGTTTGAAAATGCTATTTTTGAGCTCTAAAATTCTATTTTTGATACCAATTGATTATGATCATTATAAAAATGATTCTTCATAATACAAATGATGTTTTTAACAAATAAAAAATGTTATGTGATGCATGACGGTAAGTTACGGTGTTAACACTCGAGACTAGGCCGTTATTTGCTATCGAATGTTATGTTGATTTATCATTATGATGAATAAATGTCATGAATGATAAACCTACTGATTAGAATGATTATTGATGACTTAATCATAATTAAAAATGGATATATTGATAATCATAACGAGAATGTATCTTTAAGGGTATCTAGAACAACTCTAAGATATACCCATAGTGAAGTTGATTTTGAAAGATATCTAGAAGAATTCTAAGATATACCTATATAAGTTAGGTCTTGCGGGTATGATGCCCGGTGACTAGGGTTAAAACGTACGTATGGGATCCAAGAACCAAACTTGAGTACCTACTCGTTTGGGGGTACCACCCAACCCAACAGTGAACACTACGCTGTCGGTTTTTGGTTGATCTTAAGCGAAGGTAAGTTTAAGATTTGAAAACTCTTTTTAAAAATATATCTTAAACTGGGCCTAGCTTAAGGATTAGAATATCTTGAATTAGATTGAGAATGGAATTGACCTTAGACTAAGAATAGTTTAAGGATATTGTTGAATGAGGATGTTGAATGTTGAATATGAATATTGAATGATGAATGTTGAATATTGATTATTGAATATTTGAACTGAACACTTTGTGCATGATATCAAATGATTTGATTACGAATTTCGATTCAATTTATATGGATGTTCGACGCATTAGATATGCTTACTCAGCTTTACCGCTGAGCGTGTAGTATGTTTTATTTGCTACAAGCAGGTTAATAGAAACAATGAAGTGACGTGATCCTGGAGGCAGACGAAGGCGAGATAGTCGGAATGGATGTGATGGTTATGAATTAAAGAATATAAATAAATTATGTTTATGATTGTGATTTGTTAAGCTTCCGCGATATTGAAAACTCCGTACTGTTTATAATATGAAAAATAATTGTTGTGATAAATAAAAGTGTTTGAAATGTTTTAAATTTTACGATTACCAAGTTAATACTTTAGTCCGAATGGGGATGCAGACCTGGACGGATTAGGGTGCTACATTTCGTAAGTCTATCTAGAGTTGTTCTTTTTTCCTATCGTGATATCACGTCACGATCCCTGTAGCATATCGCCATGGTCCGTTTCACGGCGCTGTCACTTCATACCTATGTTTCTCACGCGATAAGTTAACTTCTGATGCCTACTAATAGTGGGTTACTGTTTGATTATTATTCATGTTCGACAATGTTTTCACGTCATTAGCGTATTAGTTCGTTTTGCTCGAGTCTATAACAAGATATATTCCCAGTAACAATTAATGCGATCATCCATTTATCCACAGCTCTTTTTTTGAATAGAAAGAAGATTCTTCAACATGTGGTCACGTTCTCGATCTTTGACAATGTCGAGGTACTCGAAATTTTGTTTACGGATTTTTTTTGTTTAAGGAATTTAGTTATAAGAAAATTTTGCAAGTTTATTCGTAACAATCTTCATAAAAATCTTTTCATTCAACCATTCTTCATGTGATCCGTTCAGGGTGATTTGGATACTACAGGTGACGAGATACGATACCGTCTTTTAGTTCATGCGTACACGTGTCTTTATTGTTGATAGAGTAAATCTTCATCGTTGAGATCTTTAGCAAGATTCTCTAAGAGTTGCATAGATGTTCAGACTGGTTCAGTAGGGTCACGGTGATTTCTTAAATACGTTTATTTACAATACGTTCTCCATTACAGTTTAGTCAACTGTATCGCAGAGTACGAGTTTAAAAGTCAAAGTGAAAGTCAACGTTATTACATAGAATTCTTTCCACACAAGATATTGTTATCTTAACGGGTACGTCACAACTTGATTTTAGAAAGAGATTTTGTCAATTCATTACAGAGATACTATCTCCATTCACGTGTAGAAGTTTGACCGACGTCAATGGATCAAAGTGGAGGATAATCAATGTAGTCAACATACAGATGTAGGTTACGGATAAACTTTTACAGTTCAAGAATATTAATCATTCGTTTGTCATGATATTCAAACCCAACGTTCGTACAGTCACACGCATTTGACAAGATATTTCAAGAATTGTTTCCTATGGATCGTCAGTCTCCAACACATTCCTTGAACGAATCTTTTGGAAATCCTTCATTATACGATCTACATACTTTCGTGATTAAGTTCAGGAGATGTCGCACGTCCATTAGTTAGTTGTTGACTTGTTTCTTGCGGAACAATATAATTTTCTTCGCGATTGATCCCCCAACAACAAGTTTGATCTGCACGTAAAGGGTACTTTGTTAGAAGTTGTAGCAACAAACGTTATTTTCTGTGTCATTTGTTTCTCGTATTCGCTCAGTGCATTCTGTTGTTCAGCCCACATGTTGTCAATTGCCTAATCCGATTTTGTGCCTGTCGTCTAACGGTTCGTGCGTCGTACTCGTTGGTACTATATGGCCAGCATTCGTCGTCGTCATGCGGTCGTCATCATTTGTATTCTTTCGTGTTAAGTTTGTCAGTCCTACGATATGGTTCATTATCGATATATAGTTTCGTCAGGTGTACGGTATACCTTAGTCGTCATGTCCCTGAGAGCATGTCGTATGCCCTACCTAGCTTGAGTATTTTGCACGGTGCTAACAACAAAATTCTTCTCTTCGCGACCAAGTCATGTCAGGATGCAAGCTCAATCTTTCAGGTCCAGTGTCTTACATGATGTTGCTTCACACACATTCGTTATGTTTATGTTTGCTCCAGGCTTCGTACTCTCGGTGGGTCGTTCACGGTCAGAGTACTCAATGTAGTTCGGTGTTCAGGTTATCGTGTATTACTCCTCTTCAAGTGGTACGTAATGATATCGTAACTTCTCGATCTTGGTGCGCATCCACAGGTTCGTCCAAGAGTTTCAGGTGGCATTCAACTTGTGACACAACATTAATGGTAACGTATTTGACATTATGTGCATTCATCGATCTCGGAATAAGTTCACCCTTCGCGAATCATAACCTAAAATCTTCAACAGCATAGTTGAGATTAAACTGATTCATTCTTGATTCATTAAAGTTATTTCTCAACAAATCATTGATCATACTAACGAGAGTAAGTGGGGTGTTCTATTAACGTCACCACTATCACTATCGGCGTCACTAATACTTGCTAACCAGACTTTGTAAAAGTCATGAGCCCATCAGCAGTGCGTCCTCTATTGGCAGTCCACATTTTCACATGTCGATATCGTAACTTCCTTCGAGTCTGCTTCTATTGTTTCATCCTGCCCACAAGGTACGTCTACCCGTAACGTCTTTCGAGATAGATCACTCATTAAGTTCTTTTGGTTTGTATCGAGCCACAACACTACACAATGATGTGCTAGTGGTAAGTATTATTTTCTTTACTAATCAACAAGTTTTTCTTTTCCTTTATACGGTCATTCTAGCTTGATACCAAAATAAGACTCCATCATCCATCCAGGTCTGCAGCCCTTTCAGAATTTGGTTATCCATTCCGATGACTAAACTAGAAAACTGAATATTGGACAAGATAATTTATTATAAGTATATTTTTACACTCTTTTCTTTTGTTACCTAGCATTTCGTTGTCATGGTTTATGTTAATATTCACCTTATAGTAAGTAGGTTTCATACTTCCATCTACATGATGTGAATTCTTATCTTAGACTATAGTATTTCAGTAATCTCCATAATCAACAATTCGTAGCTCAACACAGACATTTCAACAGTCAACTTAACACAGACCTTCAAACAATCAGCTTCATATAAATCTTTAAGCAATCAGCGCTAAACTATAATTTAAGCAATCAGTTCCACACAACGTTAAGAAATAAGACAATAGTTTATTACCTTCCTTGGAGGCAAAGATGACGTGGAAGACGCAGATGCAGTACTTGGAAATAACTTTTGCCCTTATTATTATTTACCAAAATGAAACACCCCAACCCGCGTACCCCGAACCAACAGGTCAGTGAACCTGGTTGTTACTAATTTGGTATTTGCATGCATATTTTTTAAAAAATAAATAGTTAAATAAATTATGAAATTCATTTGTAAGAGTTTAAGCTAAACTAAAGTTCATCGGAGTTATAAAATAAATCCAAACGTTAAGAAGCATAAGAAAAACCAAAATAATGTCCAACAGCCCATATAATCAAATAAAATAATGTAGTTTAATTAGAAGAGTAAAAAACAAGAGCCATCCACGCCACCACTTCACTGCCCTCTGGGTTGCCCATCCGGCCTGTGTTTCTACCTGCGTGCAGTCAAAACAACAACGACTACACGCTTAGCTAAATGTTGAGTGAAAATATATCTAGGCCAGCATTAACTCACAGAATAACACTCCATTAGCAGATAATTCAACAACATTATGTGATCACAAAAAAACAACTTGAACGAGCATAATTATGCTAGCATTTTCTCCTTAATTGCCTTATCATTATTTTATCTCAGATAATCTAACGTTGAGTCATGGCACCTCAAGCGATGCTATAAAAGGGCCAGCTCAGAAACCCAAAGAAGATTCACTTTGGGCGGGTTGAAGCCCATGTCCCTACGATGCCAAGACAGGTCGCGGACTTCTGTACGTACGTTTTTAACCCAAGACCACCAGGTGTGCGACGATGCCCCGTAATGGCCAATTTCCTAACCATATCCTATTGGTGATCCAATCAGTCAATCCAATTCAAGTCCGCCTAATTATACTAGGTGGCCTATTTCTCATATATTACTCATAATCTACAATATTCCTCAATAAGATTAATTTAATTTAAATCTCAGTTCTCATATTCACAACAAACAGCCCTATTGGGTGATTCACAGCAACCTAGACATCCCGTCAATTAGCCCAAACAGTCCAATCAAACCCAATTGAATCCGAATAGCCCAATTGAACCCGATTGAACTCGTTTGAACCCAATTGAGCCCAATTGGTGCCAATTGAACCCAATTGGTCCAATTAGAGCTGCTGCCCAGTTCCGGTCAATCTCGCCGCCGACTTTGCCGGCGGGTCGCCGGAGAAGACGCCGGAAAACAGCCCCCAAACCCCAATTTCATGAATTCAACACAAACATTCATAATTCTCTATCAAATCGCAAGATTATACGCTAAGGGGCTTCTAATCTACGAATTAACGCTAAAGGAAGGTATAGAAACAACAAATCACCTAGAAAATCGAAGAAATCGAAACCTTGGGTTGAAACCACAAATCACCGCTGCTCTTTGCCGGAAATGGTGCGTGCGAACCGGAAATTGGAGGGGAAGAGAGAGACGACGACGGTGGTTCCCCAGGCGACGGTGGGTGACGGCGTTGGCTCCTTGGTCACTGTCTCTGGTCGACGTGCAGCGGTGGACGGAATAGAAACGGGAGAGAGAGAGGCTGCGAGAGGGGTATGGTGGCCGACGGCGACTTCTCGGCGAGCCTCTCGCCGGCGGCTGCTGCTGCTTGTCGACCGGACGCGAAGAAGGATCGACAGAGGGAGAGGACGGAGAATGTACGGGAAAGAGAGATGCTCCGTCTCGTAACCCCCCTTTTCTTATTTAATACTCCTTAAGTAGTACTCCTTATTAAATAGAATTTAGGGTCCAGTTTACACTTTCCGACCAGTTAAGACAGATTTAAGACCAAATACCTTATTGGGCAGTCGTATCTAGGGCCTAGTAAGTCTCATTCTCAATCCGTTCACCTAGTCGGGTTCAGAACAGTGCGCCCTACAACGTAGGTTAACTCTCATATTAAATACGCAAATTAGAAAATAATTTTCGTATTGCCCCACTCAGTAATTAATTAATTATATAAATTAATTAAAAATACTAAGTCAGATTTCGGGGCGTTACATCTCTTGTATAATTATTGTATCATGATTCGTTTTATTGTACCATTGGTCATTATCTATTAGTCCAATTTAACTAAGGGGCTGTTTGGCAACTTCTGAATGGTAAGTGCTGAACCAGTAAGAGATCTGAATCATTAAGTGCTGAACCAGTAAGAGGTCTGAACCATTAAGAGCTAGTATATTGCTTAACTATTCAGAGGCAAATGTCTGATCAATTCAGATAACAGCTCTTAACCATTCAGACTCTGTATAATACTTAACCATTCAGAGGCAAATCTCTTAACCATTTAGACATCTGAACCATTAAGAGGCTGAAACAAACAGTCTGAACCATTAAGTGCTCAATCATTCAGACATCTGAATCATTAAGAGGCTGAAACAAACAGCCCCTAAATGTTTGGACATTATTCTTCTCACTAGTCATCATTAAGTCCTATTTAGAGATTAAAAAAGTTTAAGTCCTACATTAGGAAATGACTTATGTTTTAGTCCTATTCAGTGCAAATTTCGCATATATAAATACAAGTCGACTTTGTTCATCTATTCTCTCTTCGACTCCGAGTGTGTGTTAGTTAATTTTTCTTGGGATGAAGCATTTATAATGAATATTTTTGCTTTAATTTTGAGGTGTCGGATCGCGCACCAAAGATATCATGAGGTGCATTAATAATAAATTTGGAGATAAACTGAACCGTTTGGAGATAAAACAGTTGTACTTGAAGGCAACTTATGCCAAATCCTTTTAATTTTACTGAAAAATTTAAAGAGAAAAATTATTGGTGCTACATTCAATTCATCAAGCATTTGGGAATATTATATTGTTTCATTAAGCTCCATTTTATATTAAAATCAAATTCAATAGATCTACTAGAATATAATAAAATTTGTACAAATAATAGACATATCAGTTTCTATTAAAATAAGGGTTTTTCATATCTCTATTACAAACATGGATGTAAGTTCATTTAGATTTATCAATCAATAAGAATAATCCTTCTTGACCCTAAAACTCTCTTTCTCTCCTCTCTTCCTTAGCGTCACTTCCCTTCCCTCTCTTTACCTCAAACTTCTTCTGTAATCAACTGTTTCTCTTTATCTTTGAATCTCTCCTTCTTGGAGTTTGAAGGTACTCGAAATCCTTCTCTATGTGATATGTTTATCATAACAAGACGAGAGAGATGTGTGTTTAGGAAAAATATTTGCTTTGTTGATTGAATAGTACTTCTGTGGTGATGATTACATGTATAGGTTTCACACCTATGGAACCCTAATCATAAAGAATAACTAAATATGTCAAGATACTAATAACCTAATATAACATTACTTTCTAATAATATTATCATTTCCTAACCATATATAATAATACTACCTAATAATTCTTATTATTAACCATTAGTAATAATAATAGTAGTAATAATAATAATACTGATAAATAGTCCCTTATCACTCTCCCTGTCTTGAAAACTAACTTGTCCTCCAGTTGGAAATTCAGCAAAGAAGGGAGAAAAGGGGTGTCATTCATGATCCATTATATAAGGTGAAAAACCTTGATCACTAGACCATCAAAAGAACTTGTCACCAATCGATAGGATATCATCTCAGGAAAGGGAAGATTTCGATTATCTTCAAGCTCCATGAATAGAAAAGAGAAGAGGAGAGATTATAGTTTAAGAAAAGTATTTATTTTATTGTTTTAATAATAATTCCATAGTGATTGTTATATATATATATATAGCTTCTAAACATAAAGATTTCTAAGCATAAAAGGTAATTAAATAAGTCAAGATATTAATAGCTTTATATAATAATACTCCCTAATAATAATATAATTAACTAACCATAAACAATAATAATAATAATAATAATAATAATAATAAGTAATAATAAATTGTTAAAGGAAAGAGAATATTTGGTACTCCCTCTGTCTTAAAATTTTCTTCCCACTTTCCCTTTTTCTCCGTCCTAAAACTACCTTCCCATTAGAAAAAAAAGATGACAAATGACATTAATACTCTCATGTATTTACACCAATTATCTTCTACCTCTATATTTTGAATGATTGCAAAAAAAATTCAAAAAATCTCTTTTAAGGAGGGTAAAATTTGAAGTCAAAGCCAAAAATTAAAAATGGGGAAAAGTCAAACTGGGAAGAAAGAATTAGGACGGAGGGAGTAGTATTTTTGGAGATATTTGTGTATATATTGTTTTGGTAGTTTTCCTTGTATAGGGATTGTTTCCTTTTCCTTTTCCTTTACTTATTAGGAGTCTCAACTAGTGAGATCCTATATATATGTCCTCATTGTAAATTGTAAAGACGAGAGAGAAATACAGAGAATTTCCTCCCAAATAATTCTTTCATGGTATAGGAGCCAAAACCCTAGAAATATTCTGCGACTACTGTTCACGATCGCCCGGCATGGCGTCCATCGATCGTCGCTCAGTTTTAGTCGGTTGTTGCTGTTTCTGAATAACGGAACGGTCGACCGTTGCTCTAGAACGGTCGAGCACGTCGACCGTCCCGTCGGCAGACTGTTTGATTGATGCTGCTGTTGATTCTTCCGCCACCGCCGTACGCCACTCTGCTACCGCCATGGCCGATGAACAAACAAGGAAGATGTTTTTCTCCCTATCATCGTGTGTTTCTAGTATGAAGCTTTCAGGTATTCTTGTGTCACCGCGCTGGATTATAGATACTGGGGCATCAAATCATATGACTTATTTCGTTATTGCATGATGTTGTGGGAATATCACCATGTGAGATTGGTTTGCCAAATGGGAAAAGAATTGTCTCTGTACAATCTGGAAAGATTAAATTGACAGAAACATTAATTCCGCATGATGTTCTATATGTTCCCACTTTGAGTTGCCATTTAATCTCTGTGTCACAATTGACAAGGGATTTGAATTGTGAGGCACGTTTTGCCCAATGTTTTGAAAACCGGACCGGACGTCAACTCGGACGAGGTAGTGGGTCAAGGGTTGACCGGTCGAACCGGTCTAACCGGAGGTCAACGACTCGGTCAACTATATTTATAATAATAATATTTTATAATATATTAAATATTTTTAGTTAATAAAATATTTTAATTTATGTTATTATTTCTCCATCTATTTTTTAATATCCTTGTACATATGATATTTCACACCTTCTATTTTTATTTTATTATTTTTATTATTATCAAAAGTTAATATTGAATCTTTAACAAATACTTAAATAATAAGGTGATACTCATATTCTCAAAAATTAAAGACTATATATTTTATTCTTATATACATAAGACATTTTAAAGTTAATACTTAGTTGGTTAAAATGATTGAAAAGTAAAAAATATAGCATATTAAATTATATTAATAAATATTACTTGATTTTTAAAGACAACAATTTTTTAATTATAAAATATATAGAGTGTATTTATTTTCAAATAAAAATTAAATAATTCTCAATTTTTAAAATTATTTTAAAAGCTCATAAATACAAATGCACACTTAGCTTAAAAAAGTACCCCTAGTACATATTTATTTTTGTATGAACCTTTTGTAAAACAATAAAAGCATAGGATACCTAAGTTGTGAACAAAGTTCGAGTAGCTCACTTGGAAACAACTCCCTTTGGAATAAGGGGAGGTGCTGGGTTCGAATCCCCCAGCCACTACTTTCAATTTTTATGTCCAAAAAACTTATTAAAATATAGATTTAAGCCCAAACCCGGGAACCGGACGGGTCGACCCGGGTCACCCGGTTCACCGGTTCCGGCGGGTTTGGGCGAGTCAAAAGGGGAACGGGTTTCTTCATTGAACCGGACCGGATATGTTGCCGGTTCGCGGGTTGACTGGTTGGACCGGCCGGTCCGGTCCGGTCTTCAAAACACTGGTTTTGCCAACGATAAGTGTATACTACAGGATCTGTGTTTAAAGACAGGAATTAGTATGGGTGAGCAGGAAGGAGGATTTTATTACTTCAAGGAGCCTAAAAAGAAGATGGTGCGCAGTGCGAAGAAGGAGAGTAAGTTTGATCTTTGGCATAAACGACTTGGACATCCTTCCTCTCATGTTTTGTCTCTTGTTCCTGGAGTTGGAACAAGTAAGAGTAGTCACAGTTGTTGTGACATTTGTTTGCGTGCTAAACAGACTCGTGGGAGCTTTCCTATAAGTTTTTATCAATCTGCTGATAAATTTGATATGATACACTGTGATTTATGGGGACCGTATAGGACTCCAAGTTTTGATGGTTCTATAATGTTCTTGACCATTGTGGATGATTTTTCAAGAGGTGTTTGGGTACATTTGCTTGATTCCAAAAGTAAGGTTTGCCCTGTTTTTAAACAATTCTGTGCTATGGTAGAACGACAATTTGGGAAGAAAATAAAGTGTGTTCGCAGAGATAATGGCACAAAATTTGAATGTCTAAACGAATATTTCAGGGAGCAAGGAATTATTCATGAGACGTCTTGTGTGTCTACTCCACAACAGAATGGGAGAGTAAAACGCAAGCACCGACACATTTTGAATGTGGGTCGGACTTTGAGGTTTCAGGCTGGTCTTCCGATTGAGTTCTAGGGAGAGTGTATACAGACCGCCGCACATTTGATCAATCGCACACCTTCGTCTTTGCTAGGGGGTCACACCATACGAGAAGATCTATGAAAAGCCACCTTCTTTGGATCATATTCGTGTTTTTGGATGCAGATGTTATACTCAAAACTTGAAGAGGAATGGAGATAAATTCGCACCAAGAAGCAATCCTCGA